CCCGCCGGGCACCAGGCGTCTGCCAGGACGGGCAAAGATGAATCCAGACGAGGCCCTTTCGTGGTGCTCCTGGCGCCCGTTCCGCGGCGACAGCCAAAGGGTTCGGCTCCTGCATCCACCGTAGGAGCCCCCTTGCCCCCTGGCTGGGCTTGCGGCAGAGCCTCGCTCCGGAGGGACAACGGGAGCTGCAGGAGCGGGGAGTGCAGAGCCCGGAGCCCGAGGGGGCGCCCGGCAGCGCCGGGAGCTCCTCCCCCGGAACCGGCCGGCTCCGTGCGGCTCTCCCGGCGGGGGGGGCAAGGACAAGCGGAGACCCTGGCAGGGCCCCGAGCTCCCCGGAACCGAGCAGGGAGCTCCTCCTCGCCGGTGGAGCCCCGGGCAATGGACGCTGTGCGGGACCCCCGGCAGCGCCAGTGGGGGGGCCTGGCCATGAGCCGGGGGGCAGGAACAGACCCTGGTGACACCGTGGGGCAGGAACAGACCCTGGTGACACCGTGGGGAAAGAACAGAACCTGGTGACAGCGTGGGGCAGGTGCAGGCCCTGGTGACACCGTGGGGCAGGTGCAGGCCCTGGTGACACCGTGGGGCAGGAACAGAACCTGGTGACACCGTGGGGCAGGTGCAGGCCCTGGTGACACCGTGGGGCAGGAACAGACCCTTGGTGGTGGCCGCAGCCCCCCTTGCCTTTGCTCTCAGCTCTGTCTGGCCCATGGGTTTCCGGGTGCTCATTCTGCCTGGCCCATCCGGAACTCATCTCTGTGAGCAGGGGCAAATCTTCCTTTCTCCAGCCCCATCTCCGACCCCCAAGGTGTGGGGCTCCCGAGGGCTGCTCTCAGCGGTAAAGCCTGAGGCGAATTCCACCTTCTCTGTGGCTCCTGCTTCCGGGGCACCCCTGGATCCAGCAGCAGCATCACACATGTTGCTACCGATGTGCTTGCAGAAGCCCTTCTTGCTGTCCTTGATGTGCTTTGCCAGGCTCAGTCCCAAGCGGGCCTTGGCATCCCTGCATCCCCTCATGAAGCCCCTGCATCCTCCCTGTCCCTTACAACATCCCATCAATTCCTTCCTTCAGCTTACGACGTACAAGGAGCTCCCTGCTCATCATGCGGGCCTCCTGCCCCCCTTGCCTGGTTCCTTCCGCATGGGCATGCACCGGGCTTGGCCTTGGAGGAGCTGGTACTTGAGGAATGAACCCCTGAGCTTGCAGCACGGTGACCCCTGAATATCAACCAAGAGCCCCGGGCCCCCTGCCCTCTAGGGCTACATCCCATGGGCCAGAGCACTGAGCTTGCTGCACGCTCTGCTCACTGCCCCGGGGACCTCAAACTCGACCCTCCCATGATGGCTGCATCCGCGGCTGCCCTGGAGCACCCCATTTCCGAGCAGCCCTCCCCTGTCGGTGAGCACGGGGCCAAGCCTGCTTTTCCTGAGGAGCCGATGACCTTCACTGCAACACTGCAGTCACCGGAGCCATCCCAGCGTGGTTCCGTGGTGCCGGCGGTACCACAACCCCGCAGACGTGCACCCACCTCCGATTCCTCGCTTGCTCCCCGCACTGCAGGCGCACCGGAGGCCCCAGCAGCCTGCAGCAGACCTGGCCTCCCAAAGCACGTCCCACGCTGCACAAAACCAGAGCCTGCCCATGGCCCTGCTCTTGTAACCCCCCTTCTGCGCCAGATCCGCCCTTCCAAGGTCATAAATCATGGAGTGCTTTGGGTTGGGAAGGACATTAGGATCACCCGGTTCCAACCCCCTGCCGTGGGCAGGGACACCTCGCACTAAACCATGGCACCCATGGCCAAGGTCCGACATGGAGGAGCGACCGGAGCACACCTGAGCCCCAGAACCACGTCCCCCGGGGCTCTGTGTCTTCACTGCCTTCCAGGCTGCTGCTCTGTGTCGCTGGCACCCACGGGGACCATTAGAAAGGAGCCAGCGGGACCCACTGGGCCGGGCAGCCTCCGGGCAGCATCCCTGACCCATGGCCCTGGCCGGCAGCACCTCCTGGAGACCGGGCCATGCCGGCGGAAGGGCTCCTGGTGCCCGGCAGGGCGCAGTCACCTCCGGCCGTCACCGCGGCTTGTCCTGGAGGTGATGCTGCTGATGCTCTTTACCGGTGCGGCGGGGGCCGTCCCTCCGCTGTGGGGGTGCCCCATTAACCCCCACAGAGCTGTGCCGTGGGTCGGGGGGGGACGATGGGGACGGTGCCTTTTGGAGGAAGCCCCTGGCTCGGATCTGTCCTTTTCCTCCTTCTCCATCGGTTTCCCTGTGACACGAGCCCAGCCCCTGTGTCCGTGCCCCCCCTCCCCTCTGTGTGCACCAGGAGGTGCCTGCGGCCCCTGCCTCGTCCCCACGGGGTGTGAACCCTCGCAGGGCCGGTGCCTGCAGCCCTGCCCTGGGCAGCCTGTTCCAATGCCTGAGCACCCTCTGGGGCAGGAATTGTTCCTCAGCTCCATCTAAACCTGCCCTGGGGCAGCTTGAGGCCGGTTCCTCTCGTCCCATCCCTCGTTGGCTCCTCCAAGGCCAAGCCCGGTGCATGCCCATGGTGAAGAAACCAGGCCAAGGGGGCAGGAGCCCTGCAGGGGCGAGCAGGGAGCTCCTTGTACATCGTAAGCTGAGGAAGGGAATGGATGGGATGTGGAGTAGGGACAGGGAGGACGCAGGGGCTCCATGGGGGGATGCAGGGATGCCAAGGCCCGCCTGGCCCTGAGCCTGGCACAGCCCGTCAAGGGCAGCAGCGTCTGCGCTTCCACTGCCCGGGGGCTGCGAGGGGAGGCGGGCACGGCGCGGAGCGGCTCCCGGCCCATGGGGCCGGGGGGGAGCTGAGGCCGCCGCGGGGCTGAGCCCGTGCTGGCGGCGCCGGGTCCGCTCGCAGTGCGGGACCGCTCCGTGCTCCTTCAGCGCGGCTGAATGGGTCCCGGTGCCCCCCATCCCATGGGAACGGCGGCTCCGAGGCTTTGCGGGGCCCTCGCACCCCAGCAGCAGAGAGAGGGAAGGCTCCTTTCCTCGCTCAGACCCAGCCGGGCCCCGCAGCTCCCCCTCCAGCCCATGGGGACGGCGGCTCCTGCGCTGTGGTTCCCCTCCTGCGGAGCAGGGAACCCTACAGCCAGGGTGCGGGGTGGGCTGGGAAGCACCTGGAGATCATCCGGGTCCAACCTCCTGCTGCGGCATCAGCTCGGCAGCCCCCAGCCAAATGTGGACACAGGGGCTTGGAGCAAGCTGCTCCACGGGAAGGTGGGGTTGGGGTAGAGGAGCTTCAAGGTCCCTTCCAACCCAAACGAGGCTGGGATCCCACGATTTACTACACTTAGCACTGGGGTGGGATGCAGAGACCGTCTCAGAAGCTTCAGGCACGCACACAAACCTCGACCCATCCCAGCCTGCCGGATCCTGGTGTGGAAGGGAAGAACCGCAGAGCGGAAGAGGAGCTGGCACAGGGGGTCAGGATGAGCCCATGGAGCACAGAGGGTCCAGGCTCACCCCCAGTGCCCAGCCATGGGCGGGCTGGAGACCATGCTCAGGGCCCCAGACAAGAGGCATGAATAGCAGAACCATGGGGACCAGCCTGGTTCGGGATCAAGGGACCTTAAAGCTCCTCCAGCTCCAACCCTGCCACGGGCAGGGACCCCTTCCACTGGAGCCGGTTGTGACCTCTGCAGGTGGGCTCCAAGCTCCCCTGGGATTTGTCCCCTCAGCCTGATCCCTGTGTCCCCAAGCACCGCAATGGGACCTTTTCCTTGGCCTGGAGCCTCTCCATCTGCAGCGGGGATGGAAGAGGATGTCCCCATCCCTGCCCTTCCTCCTGCCCCCTGTCCCCCTCCAGCCGGGCCGGACCCTCCTGGAATGCCCTTTCCAAGGCCAGCGCCTGCTCCAGGCCGCCCCGTCACAACCAGCCCCGTGCTCAGCAGCGCGGTGCTGGGGGTCAGTGCACGCCCCTGTCCTGGGTTCGGCAGTAGCAGTCATGTTTTTCCTTCGTGGTAGCTGGTGCAGTGCTGTGTTTTGACTTCCAGCCTGGGAGCAGTGCTGGTGATGCCGATGTTGTCGGTTGTTGCTAAGTGATGTTTACCCTGACCAAGGACTCTGTGAGGCTCATGCTCTGCCAGGGAGGAGGGGAAGCCGGGAGGAAGCAGAGACGGGGCGCCTGACCCGGGCTAGCCGGGGAGGTATTCCATACCACAGCACGTCATGGCCGGAGTGAGGGGTGACTGGGAGTTACCCGGAAGGACACGGACTCGTTTCTTGGCCGGTGGTATCGTATTCTCTTCCCTTGTTATTTTCCCTTATCATTGTTTTAGCTGATAGTAGCGGTGGTGATTTGTTGCTGGACTGTTCTTGTCTCAACCCGTAGGAGTTGCACTCTCTCGATCCTCCTCCCCGTTCCTCCGGGAGTGGGGAAGGGGAGAGCCCCGGTTGGGGGGGGGACACGAACACGGACCTGGATTGTTGTCAGCTCGGCACCACTCACTGGGAGTGAGTGAACGAGTTACCTGACTGGGTTTAAAGCACGACAGCCCCACGTCCGGGGCCGGAAGGGATGAGCTCAGCAGGAGGGGTCCGAGCTCCGGCACCACAGAGAGCAAAAGCAAAAGCAGTTTATGGACAGGGTCAAAGCTGCTCCGGGGGAAGGTAAAAATACCCGGGAGGAGGGAGGGGGCTGGATCCGGGCCGGGGCTGCTATAAAAAGCAGGAGCTGCCGCTTGTCCCTGTGCCCAGGGGCCGGCGCAGGCTGGAGCTGCGGGAGCCGGGGACCTGCACCCGACCCAGGTAACGCCGCTCACTGGGTCCGGGGGAGCTGCTCCCATGGGGGACCCCGCATCCTGCTGCCAGGGCACCCCCCTGTTCCACACGAGCGACGGGGCTGGGGGCTCGGGGTGTCCCAAGAGGGGTGCCCGTGGCTGGGGAGGCAAACGGGGGGATCCGCGGTGTGGGGCAGCCCCATCGCAGGCTGACCCTGCTCTTGGCCCCCCCTCCAGCTGCTGCTTGTGGGGCGGCCCCTTCCCTCCATGGAGCGCCTGGTGCTGGGCTTGGTGCTGCTGGCGGCGGGCAGCCCCCTGCCGCTGTCCTCCTCCATCCAGGAGGTGGCCATGGACATGGCCCCCGCCTCCTTCGACGACCGCTACGAGGGCTGCAGCCACCTGATGGAGCGGGAGCTGCCGGAGCTCAACCGCACCGAGTTCGGCACCAACGGCCTCTACGCCGAGGCCTGGAGCCGGGCGGCCGAGGCCTGGAGGCAGCGGCGCGTCCCGCGGGCAGCGGGGCTGCGGCCGGAGCACGCGGTCGCGCTCCTGGCGTACACCATGGAGGGGCCCCTGTACGCGGCCTTCAACGCGGCTGTGCGCGAGGCCGGGGGCTCACGGCAGCGCTACCTGCACGGCTTCCCCTTCAAGGCGCTGCACTTCCTGCTGAGCCAGGCGCTGAGCACCCTGCGGGGCGCCGGGGACCGCGGCCGCTGCCGCCGCGTGTTCCGGGGCGTGCGCGCCGTGCGCTTCACCGCGAGGCGCGGGCAGAGCGTGCGCTTCGGGCACTTCACCTCCAGCTCCCTGCGCAACGGCAGCAGCTTCGGCTGCGACACCTTCTTCACGGTGCACACCTGCTGCGGGGTCCCCATCCGCGACTTCTCCTCGTACCCCGCCGAGGAGGAGGTCCTCATCCCGCCCTCCGAGGTCTTCCAGGTCACCGGCTTCTCCCGCACCGGGCGCGGGTCCCTCATCCAGCTCCGCTCCCAGGGCGCCAACAGCACCTACAACTGCGAGCTGGTGAAAGGTGCACACCCCATGGGATGGGGGGGTGCTCCCCGGCACTGCCGGGGATGGGGCTGCGGGGAGGGCGCTTTGGGTGCACATCAGTGCCTGTCTCGGTGGCAAAGCGTGGCTTGGAATGGCTTGGAATGGCTTGGAATGGCATGGAGTGGCTTGGAATGGCTTGGAATGGCATGGAGTGGCTTGGAATGGCTTGGAATGGCATGGAGTGGCTTGGAATGGCTTGGAATGGCATTGAATGGCACACCATGGCCAGAGACCCCCCTGGAGCCCTGTGTGCAGTTCTGGTGTCCTCAGCATAAGGACCTGGAGCTGCTGGAGAGGGTCCAGAGGAGGGCACGGAGCTGCTGCGAGGGCTGGAGCAGCTCTGCTCTGGAGCCAGGCTGAGAGAGCTGGGCTGGGGCAGCCTGGAGAAGAGAAGGCTTCTTAATGGGAGACCTTAAGAGAGCTCCAGTGCCTAAAGGGGCTCCAGGAAAGCTGGAGAGGGGCTTGGGACAAGGGATGTAGGGCCAGGCCAAGGGAAATGGCTTGAACCTGCCCGAGGGGAGACTGAGCTGAGCTCTTAGGCAGAAGCTCTTCCCTGGGAGGGTGCTGAGGCGCTGGCACAGGGTGCCCAGAGAAGCTGTGGCTGCCCCATCCCTGGCAGTGCTCAAGGCCAGGTTGGACACAGGGGCTTGGAGCAAGCTGCTCTATGGAAGGGGTCCCTGCCCGGGGCTTTAGATGAGCTTTGAGGTCCCTTCCACCCCAACCCATTCCGTGACTCCGGCACAGCGCAGCGCGGCTTGGTGGGGATGGGGCCGTCGGGACGGGGCCGTTGCAGGGACGGGGCCGTCGGGACGGGGCCGCACGGGTCCGTGCCGGTGCTGACGCGCGGTTTCTCCCGCAGAGAAGCGCTGCGGTTCCGCCCCTTGCTCCTTCCGCGCGGCCGAGCCCGGACCCCACCGCTGCGGAGCGACCTCGGCCGGGGCCCCCCCCGGCAGCAGCGCCGCTTGGGGGCTCCTCCTGGCAGCGCTGGCGGCCGCGGGGCGCCCCTGAACCGCGAGGAGCCGGGACCGGGACCCGGAGCCGCCGGGACCGGACGGGGAGGTGCCAGGCCCGGCTCAGCCCCTCCGGGGATACAGCGCGGGGCTCCGGGGCTGAAGCTCGGGCCGGCGCGGATGGGGGCCGCGGTGCTCTGGCTCGCAGAGGAATAAAGGCTCGCTGTGGGATCGGGGTTCCTGCGGCGCCCTGCGCTGGGGGCGGCTGCAGCCGGGGTCGGCTCCATCCCAGCGCCCCCTTACCCGGAGCATCCCATGGGTGGCGCAGGTCTGGGGGTGCCCCGTGGCTGCCAGCGGCCCCCATGGCACCCAAGGGACCGGGGCTGGGAGCCCGGCACCCCCAGAGCAGGGAGCAGGGCCCTGAGGGGACAGCGTGGGTGCGGAGGGGGACGCGATGCGCTCAGGGCTCTGCCCCCGCCCCGGTCCCTCTCCTGCCCGCCCCGCTCCCCGCCGCAGGACACGGGCGCCCCGGGGCAGCCTCAACGCGCTTTAATACCGGGGGGTCCCGGAGCCCCGGGGGGCACCGAGGAGGACGCGCATCACCCCGTCGCGGGCGCATGCGCAGTGGGCCAGCGCAGGTCTGCGCTGCGCGCTCCCGCGGGGCTCAGCAGCACGCAGCGGAAGGCGGTGCGCGCGTGCTGCGCGCCGAAGGGCTCCAGGCGCAGGTCCCGGCTCAGCAGCGCCCCCGCGCCGCGGGGCTGCTCCCTGCAACCAAACCGGGAGCGCTCAGCCCCGGCCGGACCCCCCCCAGCCCCGGGCCGCCCGCCCCGGTCCCCGCTCACCGCAGCGGCCCCTCTCGCGCGGCCCCGGCCGGCGGCAGCCGCTCCACGAAGGAGCCGTTCCCCAGCCAGTAGAGCAGCGCCAGCTCCGGGAGCGCGCTCAGCGCCTCGCAGCGCGCGGTCACGCTCTCACCTGCGGCACGGGCACGCGCGGGGTCGGGAGGGCTCCGCTGGGGGGGGGGGGGGGGTGCCCCCTCCCCGCCCCATCCCATCCCCGGGACCCACCTGGCCGGGGGGGTCGCAGGAGGGTGATGCTGGGGGGCTGCAGGGCCATGGCTCCTGGGGGGGGATGGGGGGGGTGAGCGCTGCCCCCCAGGGCCCTTGGGGGGGGGGGGGGCAGAGAAAGGAGGTGACCCCGAGCCCCCCCCCCCGAGCCCCCTCGTACCGGTGCAGCGGGAGGTCAGGGCCCAGCAGAGCAGGGACAGGAGGAGCCGGGCTGGGGGGCAGAGATGGGCTCAGTGTTGGGATGCGGCCCTTGAGCTCAGGTAACCCCCCAGGAACAGCCCCCAGCCCTCCCCATCCCATATCCCAGTATCCCCCCGGTACCCCTCCATCACCCCCCTGAGCATCCTCCCTGTATTACCCCCCCATCACCCCTTAGCATCTCCCCACAGCCGCCAGCATGTCCTCAGCATCCTCCCTCAGCCACCCCCCAGCATCTCCCTGCACCCCCATCGCAGCCCCATAGCACCCCCTCCATCCCCAGCCCCCCGGAGCTGCCCATGGTCCCGTCCAGCTCCGCTGAGTCCCGGGTCGGTCCCCGCCGGCACCGGGCCGGTTCCTCCTCGCGGGCTGTCCCGGTCCAGTTCCCGCCCGTACCGGCCTCACGGAGCGCAGCCATGGGGCAGCGGCCGTGGGGCAGCAGCAGGGGGGCAGCGGCGCTCGGGGCCGCGGCGCTTTTAAGCGGCTGCTGCCAGGAGGGAGCGGCCGCGGTGTGACTCAGCCGGGACCGGCACCGGAACCGCCCCCGGGTTCCCCCGTGCCGCGGCCCCACGGCCACTGCCCCTGTGCCCCACATGTGACGTCCCCTGCGCCATGTCCCGCGAGCCCACATCCTCCGGGCCACGTCCCGTGGGTCCCCTGTGCCTCCCACGGGATATCCCGTGTCCATCCCTTGCGCCACATCCCGTGTCCCCACAGCCAGCGTCCCCTGCCCCTGTGCCCCCCATGTCCTCAGTGCCACATCCTCACATTCCCTGTGCCCCTCATCCCACACCCCCTGTGCACATCTCTTATGCCCACGTCCCCCATCCCCTGTGTCCCCCCCACGCCCATGGACACCCCGGGGACACAGAACCGGGTCCCATCCAGGCTCGGGGCTTCCACCGGGATGAGGCTGGAAGCCCCACAGCCCCTCCATGGGCAGGGGCAGCTCCATGGGACCGGGCTCTGAAAAACCTTGGCAAAGCCCCAGATCCTGCCTGGTTCCAGGCAGCTCCCGGCGCATCCCAGCGGGGCAGCACCCGCAGAGCCCGGCGTGGGGACACCCCACAGCGCAGTGACGTGGCCCCATCGCACACCTCCCCCATATCCCCCGTGTCCCCAGCCCCACTGGGGCTGCGGCGCCCACAAGAAGCACCCACGGCCAAGTCTGGGTCCAGGACTCGTGTTCCGCTGTTTGGCACCAGGCGCCGACGCGGCTTCACCCAAACCAGAGCCCAAGGCCCCGCTGCGAGGCCCCTGCCCGCATCCAGGGCAACACCGCATCGCATGTCCACAGCCAACCACGGCGTGTCCCCAACCACGGCATGTCCCCAACCACGGCATGTCCCCAACCACGGCATGTCCCCAACCATGGCACGACCCAACCATGGTGTGATCCCAACCATGGCGTGATGCCAACCACGGCATGTCCCCAACCATGGCACGACCCAACCATGGCATGTCCCCAACCATGGCATGACCCCAACCACGGCATGACCCAACCACGGCATGACCCCAACCACGGCGTGACCCAACCATGGAGTGTCTCCAACCATGATGAGTCCCAACCATGGCATGACCCCAACCATGGCGTGATCCCAACCACGGCATGACCCCAACCATGGCGTGACCCAACCACGGCATGACCCCAACCATGGCGTGATCCCAACCACGGCATGACCCCAACCATGGCATGTCCCCAACCATGGCGTGATCCCAACCATGGAGTGTCCCCAACCATGATGAGTCCCAACCACGGCATGACCCCAACCATGGCGTGTCCCCAGCCATGGAGTGTCCCGAACCATGGCGTGATCCCAACCATGGAGTGTCCCCAAGCATGGTGAGTCCCAACCACGGCATGACCCCAACCACGGCATGTCCCCAACCATGGCGTGATCCCAACCACGGCATGTCCCCAACCATGGCACGACCCAACCATGGCGTGTCCCCAACCATGGTGTGATCCCAACCATGGCGTGATGCCAACCACGGCATGACCCCAACCATGGCGTGATCCCAACCACGGCGTGTCCCCAACCATGGTGTGATCCCAACCACGGCATGACCCCAACCATGGCATGTCCCCAACCATGGCGTGATCCCAACCATGGAGTGTCCCCAACCATGATGAGTCCCAACCACGGCATGACCCCAACCATGGCGTGTCCCCAGCCATGGAGTGTCCCCAACCACGGCATGACCCCAACCATGGTGTGACCCCAACCATGGTGTGACCCCAACCACGGCTCGTCCCCAGCCGGCGCCCTCGGGGACCCCGCGGGTGCCCCCACGCACGGGTGCTGGGGTCCGTGCCCGGGCTCAAGGGGGCTGCGGCGCAGGGAGCGCGGCTCCCACCCGCGCTGCCCCCCACGGGGCCACCAGCGCAGGGCCGGGACACGGAGCGCAGCGGCGCCGGGCCCGTTCTGAACGTACAAAACCGGGAGCTACAAAAGGGCCCCCGGGGCTCGGCTCCGCCCGGCGCCCCTCCAGCCCCCGGGGCAGCGGCTCCTGCGCAGCCCCCGCATCCCGGCCTGGCCGCTGCGGGGCTCAGCCCTCGGGGCGGCAGCGGGAGGAGCGCAGGGCAGGGCCGGGAGCGGCTCCGCGGGCTGCGATAGAAACCTTTACGTACGCGGGAAAAGGAGCCTTTAACAACGAGCCCCGGCGCCGGGTCCGGCCCCGCAGGGGCAGCCGAGGGGCTCCGCCGCGCTACTCCAGCCCCAGGATGTAGTTGATGCCCTGCACCAGGCCGATGATGACGGGCTGCCAGGCCACCAGGTACCGCAGCCAGTCCAGCAGCTGCCCGTACATGACGTGGGGCCGCTCCCAGCTGGGCGGGAAGGAGTTAAAGAGCCGCGGAGAGAGGAGCCGAGCACCGGGATCCAGGCGAGGAGCCGGCCCCGCGCCTCCATGAGGACGGGAGCCGGGGGCAGGCAGGACCCGGCTCCCCCCCCGGCCCGGAGGAGGCTCATTCCCATGGGAACATCGAGGCTGCCCCATCCCGGACAGGGCTCAAGGCCAGGCTGGGCACAGGGGCTGGGAGCAAAGCTGCTCCAGGGGAAGGTGCCCCCGGGGGCTGGAACTGGAGGAGCTTTCGGCTCCCTTGAACCCATGGCACATCCCAAACCCCACGCGTGCCCTTCGCAAGGCGAGGAGAAAGGATACGGGTTACTGAACATCCTCTTGAGATCCACCTTCTCTTTGCAGTACGGACACGTCTGCTTCTTGCCCACGATGCACCAGCCCCGGATGCAGAACTCGTGGAACCTGGGAGCAGCAGGTTAAGGAGAACAGCCTCAGGCTGCGGGACACGGGGGACGGGACCACGCGTGGGGAAAACCATTGAGCTGCCTTGGAACCCCAGCCCAGAGCCACTGCACAGGGCAGGAAGCGTCCCCCGGGTGAGGACGGATGCGTTGCTCAGTGCTGCCTTTCCCAGAAGGAGCAGAACCTTCCAGGCACACGGGAAGGGGCGCGTGGGGCCACGGTCTTACAGGGGTAACACCCGCATGGGACCGGGGGGCTCCACGGTCCCAGGGCGAGACCCAGCCCCGGGGATGTGGAGGGGTCCTCAGTGGCTTTGTGGATCCCGGGTGGAGCTCCAGGAACTGCCCAAAGCCGGCCCCGTGCACGAGGGGCGGCTCCTGGGGATGAGCGGTGCCTCCGGCTCGGACCCGGGGGGGATTCACCCCGGGAGCCATGGGGAAGCAGGAGGCGGCTCCCCCGGCACCAGGGGCCGCGCTGCCCCGGCCCGCGGGGAGCAGAGCCCCGGGCACGGGGTGAGAGGGGCCGGGAAGCTCCGGAGCCTGCTCCT